GTAAAACACGACCTGCGCCCCTGATCCCTCAACCAATCGTCCCAGTGCCCTGAAGTCCCTTTTGATGGCATAGCATGGATGATTTAGCAAGACTAGTAATAATAATTCACCTTAATTTATCATAATTCTCTGATATAATTTGGGTATGACCAAATGCAATGTTCACTTGCAGCCCAGAAGGCCAACCGTATCCTGGGCTGCACCAAAAGCAGCATGGCCAGCAGGTCAAGGGAGGGGATTCTGCCCCTCTGCTCTGCTCCCCTCCCATGCGCCCCCACCTGCAGTCCTGAGCCCCCAGGACAGGAAAGACATGGAGCTGTTGGAGCGGGTCCAGAGGAGGGCCACAAAACTGATCAAAGGGCTGGAACACCTCTCCTGTGAAGAAAGGCTCAGAGAGTTATGGAGAAGAGAAGGCTCCAAGGAGACCTTATAGCAACCTTCCAGTATTTGAAAGGGGTCTTCTAGACAGCTTGAGAGGGACTTTTTACAAGGATATGTAGGGATAGGACAAGGAATAACGGCTTTAAACTGAAGGAGGGTAGACTTAGATTAGAAATGAGTAAGTAATTCTTTACAATGAGGGTGGTGAGACACTGGAAGAGGTTGCCCTGAGAAATTGTGGCTGCCCCCTTCCTGGAAGTGTTCAAGGCCAGGCTGGATGGGGCTTTGAGCAACATGTTCTAGTGGAAGGTGTCTCTGCCCATGGCAGGGGGTTGGAACTAGATGAACTTTTAAGGTCCCTTCCAACCCAAACCATTCTATGATCCTATGAAAGACAAGTTACAGGATATTGTCTTTCCATATGAAAGTTTCTTTTTTCTAAAATGGTGAATTTATGTTTGTAATGGGTAGATTTAATATCATCCAGTTTAGGCCACTAAAAGCTGGACTTTTAATTTTAGCTAGTATTCTGAATTATCCCTGTAGTCACTGGTAAAAGGCAGCCTTTCTGCAACAGGTGGTTAATGCCATTTGAGAATGATGATTAAGATAGGTGGGAGGATATGCTTCTTTTTCATTGACTGTAGTCAGAGCCTGCATGATGTCCTGGTAGTACATCTTTTAGAAAGTGGAAGGTGTTTTAATCAATGGTAAAGAGAACTCCATTGAAAGTTAGTAAATTTTCACTGTGAATTGTATTTTAAAAAGTCTTTTATTTCTGGAGAAGAAAATGTGTCAGGCAGAAGACTGGCAACCACAGTCACAGTAATGTTTAACTCATGAAAGAGAAATGAAGACTTAATTCTCTTTTTCCTTTATTTTCAGTTTCAGTATGGAACCCAGTTATGATTTTCTACATATTTATGAAGGGGAGGATTCCAACAGTCCTCTAATTGGCAGTTTTCAAGGCTCACAGGCTCCTGAAAGAATAGAGAGCAGTGGTAACAGTCTGTTTCTGGCTTTTCGCAGTGATGCTTCTGTTGGAATGTCAGGATTTGCCATTGATTATAAAGGTACTGTTCTCACCATAAACTGTGGAAACATAAAGGGAAAGAAGTGTTATTTAGTATTTCTTGAGTCTCAAATTTGTTTACTTCTAGCTGCATTCATACTGAACTGCCAAATACCTCTTTGCATCGATGTAGGTTTAAAAACTATTTTGTATAAATGTGTGGAGGAACACAGAAATCCTCTTGCATGAAAGAAATCTCTTTCACATTACTGATGAACATTTTCATCTTCGAGACAAAAAAAGTAGAGAAAGAAGATGCACATCAAAAGTAGCATTTGGAAGAGTTGCAGAATAATGGAATTCTCTTACCCCAAGTACAATACATGACTGCTACTACCTCCTTGCTGATGCATACCAATACATTTTCCTTTCAACTTTGTTGTTGAACCTATATATACATTTTTTAATAACTACAGCGGGACAATATTTGCATCTTTTGGGGGATACCTATTACTAGCCAGAGAATGGGTTACACTGACTGTTCATTAAAGACACACACTCACTTTAAAAGCTGGGTTTTTTTCTGGTCACAGATGCTGTCTCTGGCTTGTTTGTCATCTCTGCTAAGATTTATCAAGCTGTTTTTTGTCAGCAGAGGTGCTGCCTCAGCTGCTTCTTCTTGACAATGGAAGCAAACCACATTAATGTACATGTCAAAAATGAAGGAGCAAAAATACTGTCCTGGGTTCGGCCAGGACAGGGCTAATTTTCACCGGAATCCAGGAAGGGGCACAGCCAGGCACAGAGCAGGGTATTCCACACCATGTGCCGTCATGCTGGGATCCGATGGGGGGGAGCTGGGCGGGGGGAACTCACTGGCCGCTCGGGAGGGCTCAGCGGCGGGGGGATAC